GRMWMTKGSRGYSSCASYWTRCTYTTGGCACYTWRCYTTSRGAAAGMAGTGRCACWATTTCTGMAMTYRACYCAMCAAGAAAAAAAAAAAAAAAAAAAAAAAAAAAAAAAAAAATCWRAAARAAAAAAGTATGTTTTACCCAAAAAATCTRAAAGACAAACTATGTTTTGCAGAAAAATAAACCGAACAACTTTCGCCTTTGCATCACATCATCACATCGAAATTCTTAAGCGACCAACCAAAGTGCGATAGGAATGCGCGATGCGCCCAGGAAGTTCAACTCAAATGGAGGATGAGATCGGAATGCGCGATATGCGCGCAGGAAGTTCAACTCAAATGGAGGATCTGCAATGCGCTGCGATGTCTCCCATTCTATTTTGGGATTGGCGGCAACAAACAAAAGAATGTCCTGGTAGCAATTCAAATTTCCAGATGGACGGACCGTTTTCTACTGCTCGGAATGGCGGCGAGACAAATGTCTCTCTCCCGACGCTATGTATATTACGTAGAAGAGACACTGAGAGGAGCCATATTGTGGACTCTTTTGAACTCGAGGAACTCAGCGACAAGGAGAGAGGAGCTTTCAGAAGGAAAAAAAAAAAAAAAAAAAAAAAAAAGGAGAGAGGGGAATGGTTGACACCACCGATGGTTCGACCTGAAATAAAATTTGCGATCAAGCAAACCAGTTTGGCAGATTGGGAGTATGGAATGTAACGGAAAGACAAAGGGCACATACTCACACTACTACCTTTTTGCATATTTTTGGACGGAACTGTGGCCAGATACATCCACCTATGCCATGAATGCGGTCAGATACATTTGAGATACTGCTAGTGTCAGTACGCGCTAAAAATTGATATTCGCAGAAGTCAATGCAGTATTTCAACACATGTGGGACTGAGTTTTCGGGACTCTTCAGGACTGAATGTTTGCCACAGCAACAACCCTGTCTTTCTGTGCTTCTCAGCTTTTTTCTTGTTTTTTTTTCTTGTTTTTTTTTGGTTTTTTTTGGTTTTTTTATTTTTTTTATTTTTTTTTTCAGCGTTTTTCTTGTAAATTAAATATACTTTGGTTGTACAAAACTAAGTCTTGTGAAAGTGGTCTGACTCATTGCCTTGTGTTTTTCGGTGCTGCTTCGTTCCCTTTGGTTTTGGTTCGGTCCTTCTAGAGTGCCCATATTAGTGTTCATAACTTCATAGTAGTGTCTATAGATTTTCTGTAAGTTATGGCTGCATTTGGTTTTAGGGATATTGCTAGTTAGTTGAGGGACTGATCCCAGATAAGAATAAGGAGTAGAATCTTGCCACAGTCGTGGCCTGGGCTTTGCTTGGCCAAAGAGCTCTTGCTCAGCCTCAGAGCTGTGGCGAACTTTGTGAGGGAGGCCGGGGAGGCCGGGGCCGGTTCCCGGCACAGTTTTATAAGAGTTGCTCCTTTTAGAAACTCTTTACCAAATTTAAAATAAAAAAGTTAAACCACCAGTACCTCCGAGCCTGTTTTTGCCGAACCTGAATTATGCTGCGCGCCAGAATTCCGCGAGCCTGTGTCCCGCGGGACTTTTCGTTTTCGTTGTTGATTTTTTTTTTGCTCGAAAAGGTGCGTTTTCACTTCTGGCCCGTTGGCCTCCGGTAGCGCCCGGACGCACGTTAGGGCGGGGTCCCTGTGGTCGGTGGCATGGCCGGAGGCCGACTCGCGTTTTGGATTTTTTTTTTTTTTTTTTCCTTTTTTATTTCGGCCTGTGACGGGCGTGTCAGTTCGCCGGCGACCGGTACTGCGAACCGGATGGCCGCGGTCGTCCGCGCGTGTGGCAACAGACGGACGACGGCGGTTGCCATCGCCAGCGGCGCATCCCGGCCTCGCGTGTGTGTGTGTGTGTGTGTGTGTGTGTGTGTTTCCTCAATCATTCAGGGCCAATCGCCATCGCAGATGACAAGACGTCTTCCCGGCGATTGCCTCATCAGCGATTGCCCCACCTCACTCTCTCTCTCTCTCTCTAGATGGCCGTTCATTGTCAAGTCGTCATCGTCCATATAAGTCTGCTGTCGCTGTCATGGATGTCATACTCAACAACGAAGAGACAACTACGACGTTGATTGACATCCATTGCGGCGACAGTCGGTTAGTCTCTCTCTCTCTCTCTCTCTCTCTCTCTCTCTCTCTCTCTCTCTCTCTCTCTCT